CATATGCATATATATATATATATATATATATATCTCGTAATCGCGCGGTAAGAGGAAGGTGGGGACGCGGTGTTGTCGACGGGAGTTTCGCGCGACTCTTTCCCGCGCCTCACGATAGGACCGCGCTCTGTCCGCGGCTTCTTTGCCGTGGATCAGAGGTCGATAAAATTCGAACACGTTCGGCCGGGAGCGGGGGGATCGGCTCTCGCGCGATCGACACGAACGAGCTTCCGGCTTCTTCCTACGAACGGGCTTCCGTTTTCTTCCTCTCATGGGATCGGTCGAGTATACGACTGCGGTGAAGGAAAAGCGAGATAAACACGTGCTTCAGCGTTCCTCTGTGGAAAATCCACAAAAGCGTTGCTCAGGGCTACGGCCCCAAGGCGTTGCTGAGTTCGCTAGTTGTTAAACGTGCGTATAACGAAAGTGCAAGGCGAATCGACGACGTGGCTCAGGGCTACGGCCCCAAGGCGTTGCCACGTGCGTCGAGCATATTGTGCGTGGCTTCGGTTGAGCATTTTAAACATATTAAAACTATGATGTGAGCTTCGGTTATTGATGATCTCTTAATTGTGACGTGTGATCTATAATAAACTATAACAAAAATTAAAAAGAGTTTATTTCCTGTTGTGAGAGACGCTTGTGTGAGAGACAAAAGAGAACGCTTACGCGAAAACATGGTGCAGGCGAGAAATTGCCTGCGCCGATCCTACAAAACATATGTCCTTATTAGGGTGGCCCAAAATTGATAAAGTTTCAAAATGTTAATGGGCGTTCTCATAACTCGTTAGTGCATAAAAAAACAGAAATTTTGACCACTTGCTGAGCTCAATCGGTTAATATTTAGAGGTCGCACAAAGCGCTTAAAGATTTGCAAACGTTAACCCTGTGATTAAATCGAAGGAAACCTTGTTCTTTGCATACGGTACGATTAGAAAGTTTTCGTCGAGTGTTCCTGAACACGAATCTAACCTTAAATTTCGAAAATTCAAAATGGCGAATCCAACATGGTGGATCTAACTTCGAAAAGGGATACAATCCAGATGAAACAACTTACATTCGGGCGTTTTCGGTATTGCTGATCGCGAGTTTGATCTAAGATATACCAAATTCAAAATGTCGATTCCAGTATGTCGTAATCAAACAAAAAATTGTTTAATGATTTACAACATTTACTTAATTTCACTGAAAGTGCTCAAAGCAATCATTTTCATCGATTTATTAAATTCTAACAGATGTATTTAAAGTAAAATTTAATTATACTGGCCTATTTTGAAACATGGAATTCATTTTGTTCCTTCAGGACCTTTTCTTGCTCTTGTGAGACATAAAGTTACAAAGATTACTACATACTGGAATCGACATTTTGAATTTGGTATATCTTAGATCAGACTCGCGATCAGCAATACCGAAAACGCCCGAATGTAAGTTGTTTCATCTGGATTGTATCCCTTTTCGAAGTTAGATCCACCATGTTGGATTCGCCATTTTGAATTTTCGAAATTTAAGGTTAGATTCGTGTTCAGGAACACTCGACGAAAACTTTCTAATTGTACCGTATGCGAAGAACAAGGTTTCCTTCGATTTAATCACAGGGTTAACGTTTGCAAATCTTTGAGCGCTTTGAGCGACCTCTAAATATTAA